ACTACCATTACGAAGAATCAGTAAATAAAATGAACAAAAAGAAAAACCGTGATAGGTCCAGCCCTAGTACTTTTCTTGGGAGCATCCTCCTCCAGGTAGTAGCAGGAACTCCTCCAGAACTCCTGGAGTTTCAAGGTGGACACAATCAGCGCCTTCTCCTCGTTGCTCGCCTTGGCGCACTTCATCTCTGGCAGGGTGATGTCCTGTTCAAGTGTTAGATTTTGCAAGCACGCAGCACATCAGTTCTACCGCACCACGCAATGCAAGGTCGGGGCGGAGGGTGGGGGTGGAGCGGAGACTGACCGGGAAGTCCTCGTGCGGCGCGTGCTTGGCCGGGTGGTCGTACCCGAAGCCCCCACCTCTCCCGCGGCCCCCTCTTCCACGGCCTCGGAACGACATCGGGAGACAACGCCGCGAGGCAGCAGATGGAGGTCGAAGGGGCGGCGGGCGCGCGCGAGGCGATAGGGGAGAGGACGGCGTCGGCGTCGGCGTCGGCGGTGAGATACGAGGGACTCGCAGCGGCCAGCGGACGGCCGGCGGCGGCGGCCGAGGCAGGTCTACACAAGGGCCCAGAAAGTCCGAGAACTAGCTAAACGGTTCGGTCAACCGGGCCCTAATCTCTCTCGACGAACGAGAACGAGACGGAGTCGGCTAAGCCCAACGCGGCCCAACAAACTCTAGGCCTTCGCCTCCGCCTGCGTTTCGACTCCCCGAAGCGAAGCCGCTCTCTCTACTTCCCCTTCCGCTCCGCGCACGGGAGGACGAGACACGGCAACAAGCTACGCGAGAGAGGCCACGCATGATGATGGCGTGTCGGCGGCAGGCGAGGGAGGCCGTCGCGGCCTCGCTCCGGCGGGGCGCCGCCACCGCGCCCACCGCCTCCACGCAAGCCTTCTCCCCTTCCTCCGCCGCCGCTGCCTCCTGCTCCTCCCGCGCACCAGTCGCCGCCAGCCCTATTCGCCAGTTCCTCGCGCGCTATTCGAACCCCGCTTTCCAGCCTCGCGCTGCCGAGTTCGGGCCTTCGCTCGCCGCGAGAGTGGCCTTTGGTCTCCGGCCGCAGTTGTCAGGTGAGTAGGTGACACCTACGATCGTTCGCCATGTTTGTCTCACTCGACATTAGTAGTATGCCGTTTATTATCGATCATGAATCTGGTTGGAAATTATGTGGATTACTTGTGCATTCAGCAAAATACTTTACCGATTTAGTATATGCTTGCTTTGTAGTAGTATATGCTTACTTTACCAATTTACCGATAACTCTAAGAATTGATTTATTACGGACGGAGGGAGCAGTAGTATTATTTTGTCCCTAGACTTCTAGACTGACAGTTCCATGGGCTAACTCTTAATGATTTGGTGTATTATTTTTCTGTAGGCCTCAATCTGATCAAAGGATTTGGAACAAGCACCATGCTAGCGATGACGCTTCATCAGGGACAGGTTACTGCTGCCACAAAAGGTGAAATTCTCCCTCTAAATACATTGAAAATAATTTGAAGTACAGGTTTTCTTTTCACTGCCCCACAGAAAACACATAAAATGATCTCAATGAGTGGTTAATAGCATACAAAGGCTCATGGACTCATAGCAACAACATTTTTCTAAAACATGATTGTAGTGCTAGCACCTAAATGTTGAGCAAAATTCAAAATCCACAACATTTGGGAAAAATAACTGGTTTCTTAAACATAGTCAAGGACTACTTGTTGCTTAAACTTTACAATGTTTGGGAAAATAACTGGGCTTATGGACTGGTCCAATTTAATTAGTCAAGGACTTCAAGCCCTAACTCTTAAAATCAGTTTATTCATGTTGACTGGTCCTTTAATCTGGTTTATTTCTATTGTACAGACTTATCCCTAGCTTAGCTGTTGATAACTAGTTTTCATTCAGACCTGTAGAACCTTTTTCTGTTGAACATTGATAGAAAAACTGGATGTTAATGTTCTTGATTTTAGTTTTTTTCTGGTTTTCCCTAATGAATGGTGTTTCTTTTTCTAATTTGGTTTCACAGAGCAACCATCAAAAGCCATAGCTGGACCACCCCCGGGATCTTTGAAAACCGAGCTTGGGCCTTCATTTTGGCCTTTGGTCAGGAAACTTCAGCTGCCAGTTGGATTGATTTTTCTGATTATGTCTGGGTTGCACAGCCCGTTAGGTCTCGCCCTAAATATTTTGCTTCTCATCTACTGCTCGAGACCTAGCCGTTATTCAATATATTTGTTTCTTCAGGAGGTTAGTAAAATGTGTATGTTATTTTATGAGTAAATATGTATGCAAGTACTGTTTTGTGTTTCTCAACATGGTATGATGTTTCATATTTCATCATGCCATGCAAGAGTTGACTCAAAGGAGGGCAGTCTGTCTTTTTTTTTTTTCTAACTAATATACCATTAATTATTTCAGCTTCGTCATAGGGAGATGGGTCAAAACCATGCTGTGTCGAAGGAGGAGGTGAGTTTTGTGCATATTTGTTTATTTCTCCTTTAGGTCTTAGCGGTCTAGTGGATGCTTGCAATTTAAATTGGATCTACAGTAGTTCTACGTCGGTCTCATCTCATTCAGATTCTGAAATGCTTTCAATATGGTAGTAACTTTCACTCGCATAACCCTTTTTTACAGTTTACATAATCCTGAAACGTCCCATCAGCCCCAAGGATCAAAGAAGGCTGACATTTTTTTTAATTTTTGTTTCAAACCAATTAATAAAATCACCATATCAGGTTTGTCAAGGTCACTATCCGTATGGATGTGCTCCTATCCTATGACCTTTAGAGAAATGGTTTTGAGGGCCAATCCTACCGCTAAGCTTCTGACCTATGCCCCCCAAAAAAAAAAAACTTATACAAAGGATTAAAAAACGATCACATTCCTGAAAGCTTTGGGTCTGTTTTAGATTTAGATTATCTTTTTGTTTACGGCAAATGTTTTAGATTATTTCTTAGTATCCCAATCAATGGTATGCTAACCTTGTATAAACAAAGTTTGGGCCTTTGGGGATTCAGTCATTCAGTGTTTTACTCTCGTCAATTTTGTGTTTTGGGTGCTCTTTTTTTCCCTCGGACAAAGTTTTGGGTCCTTTTGGCACACCTCTGTAAGTATTTAAGGTAGTTCCTTACTGTATTTTAGGCATAAGTATAAAAGCTCCAAGAACTCTGTCCCTCATGAAGAATCACAAAGTTATAATGTCTGGGAGATTCTTTATGCCACCTTTGTGTACCTTTTCTTTTCTTTTTTTTACTTGAACATGAACTGCCTCGGCTGCTTTAGGATTAGAGATGTTAAATGATTTCCCCCGAGATTTGAGATCATTTTCCTGTATAGCGATATAGTGATGATTTGATAAGCTGACATAATGTTTTAGTGCAACTACACCGTGGCAAATATCAACTACAGACCCAGTAGTTAAACCATTAGACTAAGGCTCATGTGCCTTTTTTCCCCGTTGAACTGTATGCTTGCAGTTCTTTCCATGCGTTCCACTGCAGCACACTTAAAAAAGGAGAATTCAAAGTTAAATCTTTTATTAGTTAGACGTAGTATTTGGTTGAGTTCTGCTTCTTACATTTTAGCGAGTCCATTTTTTTGGATATTTGTTTGAATTATGACTTAATAATTGCAAATATGGATTTTATTGAAGCAATTATCTATTATACCAATAGAGTGACACACATCCACATCAATATTCAAATTTCTATTTTCTTTCCTCTCTTAGTATGCTCCTTTATGTGCTTAGTTATTTGAACTAAACATTGTGTATTTTTCTGCAGTACATGCGTACAAGAAATGTTAATACTGAAGATTACAAATTTTTTTCAATTGGAACCATTGAATTAGCAGACGGGAGGGTGCTGCATCTCATTGGAATGCTGGGGAGCTGGTGGTTCTACCGTGTGTCATTCAAGTGGAAAGAGCCGGTGTAGAATATATTTTAGTTCTGAAGAGCAAGTTAACCATCTGGTGCTGAATAGCACATATTTTCAATCATTTCTAACTGACCAGTAGGTACTTAGAGAATCGAGTTTTCAGTAGGGGACCTGTATTGCTTTTTTTTTTTTAAAACGGTGATGTCCAATTATTTTATGAAAGTATTTTGCAAGAATATAATGGAAGTGTGGAACCTGGTGACCGGTGCTATTTCTCAAAGGGTGCAATGTAATTCTACTTGGAAGACCTATTTCTTGTCATCTAGCACATTTTGTCCTGGGTGTGTTTGCCTTACAATTGCCGAAGGATGGCTTCTCTAAGTTTAGGTTCTGTAAACAAGGACGTGGTTATAATGAACAAGCCATGGTGCCATCTGTTAGTTTTCTTCCTGCTACTAGCGTGTTGCTATTAGTCAGTCACTTGAAACAGAATTATTGAAATAATAATCAATTGTAGTCCTTAGCTCTCATTTCATCAGAATTGGCAGCATCTAGTTATAGTTTATTCCTTTTTAAATGGCTTTTGAGATGCTTCCTCTTTTGGTCATGGTCAGTATTACATCAGAGTTACGCTCTTGATGACTACTCCCCCCTTGTAGGTGATGTTTCTTCAATGAATCGATTTGGTAGAATCTGTAATTGCACCGATAGTTGTATGGAAAAACTGGAATAACATTCTCGTTGCCACTTTGTTGCTTTGCATCGTGAATCTTGACTTTGCTAACTGTTATAATCAGCTTCATTCATTCACGGAAGCCAGCATTCTAACATGTTTTCTAGGCAGCTAAAGTGATGATAAGGAATCGCGTAAAGGAAACCAAGGCATAAAGATCATTCATTTGAAATGGGAAAGGAATTTTGGGAAAAGTAAAGAAAGGTAACGTCGGTATTTCTCTGTCTGTCTCCTTTTGTCTGGTATTTCCAAGTTGCATTTATCTGTTTATATAAGGACCTGGCCAGCAGCAGTGAATACCATATCTGAAACTGCATTGCCAACTTTAATTGCCTTTTTGTCAGGCATACTAGTTTGGAAATTTGTAACCTGTTGGCTGTTCCTAATTAGTTGGGAGGGAGATGGCTGGGAGGAACATTGGAGTCGCAGTGGACTTCTCATCATGCAGCAAAGCAGCTCTGCGATGGGCATCAACGAACCTTCCCAGGAACGGTGATAAACTCATACTCATCCATGTGAACAATTCCTATCAGAATGAGCAGGGCTCTGTTCATCTCTGGGAGCAGAGTGGTTCCCGTGAGTACTGACGCCTCTTCTTCTCTGTTCTTGCTTCGTTTCAAGTTGATTTGATGTCCCACAAAGGCAGGACTTGAATATTACCCGTTTCTGTTGGCAGTGTGAATTTATCCTAGTTGTACATTCTTTTGTGTTGCAGCACTCATCCCTCTGGCCGAGTTCTCAGATGTCACCAGGACATATGGTGTATCACCGGACAAGGAGACAATTGAGATCCTCACTCAAGTGGCAAATCAAAGAGGGGTATGGGTCATGGCTCGTTCTGTTCACAATTTTTCAGTACTCAATTCTTTCTGGAAGTTGCTATTGGGGTGAGCCGATTGCTTAGCTGTTGAAATCACATAACCGCAGATTGAAGTCTTTGCAAAGATATTCTATGGTGACCCTGCAAAGAAGCTCTATGAAGCAGTTGACCTGGTTTCCCTTAGCTGCATGGTTATCGGGAGCAGAGGACTAAGCACGCTCAAGAGGTAAACATGCAAAGCTTGTATTTTCTGAATTTTATGATCTCAAACCTTCGTGCACTCAAGATTGTGTTCAAGGTTGACCTTGCCCTAGCGCGGTACCAGTCTCCTTACCAACAGCTGCTGTTGTTGCCTGAACGCAGGGCTCTGATGGGGAGCGTGAGCACCTATATTGTGAACCACGCGGCCTGCCCTGTGACGGTTGTGAAGGAGAACATGTAGGCGCAATCAGCCCGATGAACACTGCTGTTTACAAGCTTCACTCACTACAAGAACAATACGTATATGTGTGGTAGCCAGATTAAATAAGTGTGCTTGACATGCACTGATCAGTTGGATCTTGCTACTTAGAAAATAATAAAATCTGAAGATACGGAATTGTGCTTGAAATTCACTTAACTAGGACTGGACAGAACATGTCTTGGCACTGTCATCTGAAGATATGTCCTAGGCCAGTTGTAATCGCTGAATAATTTTGCTTGTAAAATCAGTTAAAAAAATATATGGCTCCAAGTTATAAATGTCTACTTGCTGAGATGCTGAATTTGCGATGGGAGGATTTGCAATTCGTGTGCAGTTCCTCAACCGTCCGCTATCTTATCGAACGGTTGATACGCACCTTGTGGCTCAAATAGAAGACTTTTTTAGCTCATGGTGAACCTTGGGGCTCAAATAGAAGACTTTTTGTAGCTCACGGTGTCGTCCTCTCATCTTGGACAAAACTTAATGTTTGCACAAAACTTGGATCGCTACAGCAGAGGCTGTTTTTTCAGGGCCAGAGAAATATCATACAAATCTTGATTCTGGGACAGCACCACCGTCTACAGGTTCCTGCCCGTCCGATCCATGTGCCAACGGCTCTGCGTTCCTACAGTACTACAGCGCCACGGCCTCGCCAGGCCCTCCGATTCGCAGCGCCAGCCCCATCCAGCCTTCCAGCTCCTTCGTTTCCTGTCCGCGTCGACTCCGTCCGACCCCACCTGGCCGCCGCACCCGCTGCCCCCATCTCGTCGCGCGCGCGCTTCCGTATCCTCCCTCTCCTCGACAGCTCCGCTCGCGGCGTCCGTCCTCCCTGCCGCGCGCTTCAGCGCTCCGGCGATCCTCCCTCTCCTTGACAGCTTCGCCGGCGGCGTCGGCCCTCCGTGCCGTCGCGCTTCATCGCTCCGCCGCGCGGGCCGTCGTTCGGGTCGACGATTTACTCCTCCCCAAGTGCGCGGGTCCTGCTTTCACGCTCCGGCGGCAGCAGCCACGGCCCGGCAATACTGCGGCTACCCACGTCTCAGTGGAGCGGATGCTTTAATCAGTCACACGCTCCGGCGGCGGCTGGCACGGCCCGGCAGTCCTGCGGCTGCCCCCGTCTCAGGGGAGCGGATGCTTTAGTCAGTCAGGTACTTCCCTATTCACAAATTTAGTTTCCCAGTATGAGATGCATATGAGATACAGACTTTGATATGACTCCGCTCCCCAGTGTGTAAGCCTATCTCCTTTCTATGGTCATCCATTTATGGGTCTTCCTCAGCTCTCTCTGTTTCCTGTCCGCAGTTCCCACCATCACTCGTGCGTGATGCCACCCGCGGCACCTAATCGCAGGCGCGGCCATCCAGCTGCTTCCTCAGTTCCTGGTTAGTAAAGTAGTATCCTATATGTGCGTTCCATGCACCTGCTTTTCCTTCCTTTACAACCGTGACTTTTTCCCATCTTATTAACTTCACACCTAATCGAACTGCCGTGCAAGATGTCCCTGATGACTTCCCTGTGACTTTCCACATGCCGTCGCAACGCTCGGTGCGCCGTCGCCTGTCTGCTCAGCCTCCAGGTATATTACTTCGTTGTTATAGTTTTTAGATTTATTTGTGCTTCAAGAGATTTACTCATGCCTTTGGAACAAAAAAAAATTCTCTTAACTACAGATCTTGCTTCCTACACTGAGATGATGTACCCAGAGGATAAAAAAAAACCTCCATATTGTGCCTTAGTTGTTATCATCTGCAGTCTGTTTTTAGCATCCCTGCTGTAGAATGCAGATAGGTGCTGCAGACCTGCATCTGCCGTCTGCATACTAACCATGGCAGGACATACCTATTGTAATGCTCTACTCAGCTTATTTGACGCTACTACGTGCCTCTGATATTTGCGTCTTCATTTCGTCATCCATATACTAACATGTCAACACGACCTGTTCTGCACTATCTATATTATGCTTTCAAATTTCTTTTTCCCTTGGCACCACCATTTGCCTTCACCGCCAGGTTAGCTCTCTACACAACCTTCATTCAATGCAGAGGCAAAATTATACACGCTCTATTCAGTACAACAGAAAATCATTATTCACCTGCCCGCACCCAAGCGCGGGGCTCCACCTAGTATAGCACACAAGTTCAGAGTGTTTTAGGACCATAGAAATATACAACACAACAGTTCAGAGTGTAGTTTGACAGAATGACCTGCTGACTAATGGCATAAAACTGAACGAACTCTTTTTTTCAAACAAAGTATTGTTGTTGGAGCCTCAGTCATGTCTAGAGCAATACTGAACTTCCATATTGCCAGTGCAAAGAACTCACAAACTGCATCTTTCAAATATTTTTAGTGTGCATAGTAGCAATATAATCAGCAAAAAAAGAAGAAGATGGGAACAAACGAAGATGCTTGTGGTCTACTCAAAGACAACGATGTAGGCCCCTTTAAAATGCGGAATTTTTTCATGTAAAATGAAGTAATTTCTATAAAATTATAGAATGATCTTCGCAAAATTCATACTTTCCAAAGAGGCCCTCGTATACCGCAAAAGGATCTTGGAATATGTCAGTTGTGGATTTTGGGACATGGAATATATAATCTTTGATTGACATGTTGCTTTGTTGGAAATTAATGCATACAAAGTATGTGCATGTATATGGAAGAAACTGACGAGACAGGGTTGGTTAAACAGGGAGATCATGAGATCAGATCAATGCAGGTCTGAACGAGACAAACGAGCGCTTGAGTTCAGATTAGCTGATAGCACCTTCGCAGACAGCCTTTATTCCGGATCAGATCAATGCAGGTCTGAACGAGACAAACGAGCGCTTGAGTTCAGACTAGCTGATAGCACCTTCGCTTCCGGATCGCTATACCATGAAAGGAGTTGTTATCTTGCATGAAACAATCCATGAATTGCATAGGAAAAAACAGGATGGAGTGATACTAAAACTAGACTTTGAAAAGGCATACACAAATTAAAGTGGCCTTTTGTGCAACAGGTTCTCAGGGTGAAAGGATTCTCACCAACTCGGTGTGAATGGATTTCGAAAGTCATGACTAGAGGGAGTGTTGCAGTAAAGGTCAATGATAATATAGGATATTTCTTTCAAACTAGGAAAGGAGTACGGCAGTTATCTCCGATTTTGTTTAATATAGTGGTTGATATGCTCGTTGTCTTTATTTCACGAGCCAAAGAGCCGGACAAATCCAAGGGGTTCCGCATTAGGTAGATGAGGGACTCTCGATCCTTCAGTATGCAGATGACACTGTCATCTTTATGGATAATGATCTAGAGGGCAAAAAACATGAAGCTTTTACTTTGTGCTTTTGAACAGTTATCAGAACTCAAGATCAATTTCCATAAAAGTGAGATGTTTTGCTACGGAGTAGCCAGAGCTAGACAAACCAAATATACACACATTTTTGGGTGTGATATGGAGTCGTATCCCTTTCGTTATCTAGGAATTCCTATGCACCGTAAAAAACTCATGAATAAGGATTGGAAACATGTTGAAGAAATATTTCAAAAAAAGCTGAACTTCTCGAGAAGTAAGATGTTGTCGGTGGGAGGGAGGCTGGTTTTGATTAATTCTGTTTTGAGTAGTCTCCCATGTTCATGCTTTCCTTTTTTTTAAGTACCTAGAGGGGTTATGGGGAAGGTGGATTACTTTAGGTCACGGTTTTTTTTGACAGAGTGATGATCACAAGAAAAAGTATAGGTTGACTAAGTGGGAGGTAGTCTGTTGTACTCCGAAAGACCAAGGAGGATTGGGAGTTTTAAATTTAGATGTCCACAACAAGTGTCTCCTAAGCAAATGGCTTTTTAAGCTGATTAATGGAGATGTGATGTGGCGACAAATATTTAGGAATAAATATCTAAGGGACAAAACTTTAACACAGGTTCATTCTCAGTTTTGGGCTGGCCTCATGAAGGTCAAGGGGGAGTTTCTCTCGCTAGGCAAGTTTGATCTAGGTGACGGGTCTCAGGTGCGATTTTTGGAGGACTCCTGGATAAGATCGCGTTCACTAAAATCTTTCTTTCCTGCACTATATAACATTGTTAGGAAAAAAAGTGCTTATGTAAGAACGGTGCTATCCACGGCACCGTTAAATGTAGCCTTCAGTAGATCTCTGGTAGGGGTTATTTTATAAGCATGGCACAACGTGGTTGCAATGGTGGTCAATGTACAATTAACAAACCAAATGGATCGCTTTGTGTGGGGCTACACCAGAATGGATTATTTTCGGTTAAATCCATGTACAGGGCCTTATTGACAGCAGAAGCTGCACCTTATAAAACTTTTATTTGGAAATGGAAATTACCTCTTAAAATCAAAGTATTTTTGTGGTATTTGTATAAGGAAGTAATGTTAACAAAGGACAATTTAGTAAGGCGGCCGTGGCAAGAAGATAGAAAGTGTTGTTTCTTTTCTTCTGGCGAGTCTATACAACATCTATTTTTGACTGTCATTTTGCTAAATTCGTGTAGCGAACTGTTCATGTTTCCTTTAATTTAATATCTTCAACTAGCGTTCATAATTTGTTTACTGGCTGGTTAGACGGGATAAATAGGAAACTGAAATCTAAGATTCTTGTAGGTGTAAGTGCAATTTGTTGGACGATTTGGTTAATCCGGAACAATATAATTTTTGACAAGGCCGTAGCACCATCTTATTTCAGAAGGAGAAGGATCACCAAATGATGTTTCAGAAGGAGGAGGATCGTCAAAAGATGAGACGCAGGAATATTAAGACAACAACGATGGAGGTGTTTGCAAGAGAGATTTAGTAATAGAATTGTTCTATAGATGTCGAGCTCGGAAACTTGTCTTTTATTCACTTCGGATCAAAACTTTATGTTTGAGATTGCGTGGACCGTAGTGCTTGTGTTTGTAATAAGGAACAGCTATATGCATTCGTCGCATATCAATATATTCCCTTAAAAAAAAGACTTCAGAGGTCTGAACTGCCGCAACGATGCTTGGGGACAGGGTGAGGTTGCCACAACGTGGGCTCGCGGCGTGGGTCAGCCCGGCGGCTGATCAGCGCGGGTCGCGCAGCTTGCAACGCTTCTCATTTACATGGCCGTGCCGCGTGGTCGCGCGGCGCGGCGGCGGTCTCCTCGGTCGCACGCCCGCTTCAGCGCTGTCCACGGCCACCACACCTACGACGCCTCAACACATCTCCCACTACCTGGAGCACCAGCCGCGGGCGACATGGGAGGCGCTCTCCGCCGCCTTCCCTGCCGACGCGGTGTCCCACGGCCACGTCGATGCCGTTCTCCTCTCCCTTGCCAGGCAGCCCCACGCCTCCCCCGAGCCCGTTGCCAAGAACGCCCTCACCTTCTTCCACTGGTCCGCCGCCGCAGCAGCAGCCGCTTCCTCCTCTTCCCCGCCGCCGTCGTCCTCTCACTCGCTCCGGTCCTACTGCCTCCTCGTCCACCTCCTCTCCCGCGCCGCGCTCTTCCGCGACGCCTCCGTCCTCCTCGAGTCAGCCATCTCCAGGCACTTGTCGTCTTCGTCCCCCGCCTCGTGCTTCCTCGACGCCTTCTTCACCGCCTACGAGGACAGCGGCACGGCCGCCACGACCCGGGGCCTACACCTCCTGGTGCACGCCTACGCGCGGCTGCGCCTCCCGGGGGAGGCCCTCGAGGCCTGCCGCTACCTCGCGCGGCGCGGCGTGCTGCCCTCACTCTCTGCCTTCAACGCCGCGCTGCACGCGGCGCAGCGCGCTGGGTCGCTCGGTGTCTCATGGGAGGTGTTCGAGCTTATGACGCTGAAGCGGCTGTATGCCAACCAGAGCACCGTCGAGCTTGTCATCGGCGTCCTGAGCCGGGAAGGCAAGCTCGCCCGGACCGTGGCGTTAGTGGAGAGGATCCACGGTAAGAAGTGTGCGCCTGGCATTGTGGCGCACGTTGCACTCACGTTGAGGATGATCGAGGAAGAGAGGGTGGAGCAGGTGATATTGCTGCTGAAGAGGATGCTGCAGAGGAACATTCTCCTCGATGATATTGCTTACTCACTGATCGTGCATGCCTACTGCCACATTGGTGATCTCAAGTCGGCACTCGAGCAATGTGATGACATCGTTCGTCGTGGTCGTCGCCTGAATGCATTCATGTACACTTGCCTCATCAGAGCGCATTGTTGCGAAGGCAGTATGGACAAGGCTGCCCAGTTGCTTCAAGAAATGTTATCCATGGGAGCAAAGCCTTATGATGCTACGTACAACCATCTCATTGCTGGTTGTTTCAGACAAGGGATGATAAAGGAAGGCTTGGCCTATTTTGACAACATGCACGAGGAAGGTTTTGTGCTGGACATTGGCAGCTGCAATGAGATGTTAGAGGGACTCTGCAATGCAGGAGAGGCTCGCAGGGCGAACGACCTGCTGACGGCAATGATGGACAAAGGACTTCTTCCTGATCCGGATATATACTTGAACCTTATTAATGGATATGGCAAGGCCGGCGATGCTCAAGGTATTGTCAACATCTACCATGAGATGGAGCACAGAAGGCTTGATCCTGGTGTTGAGGTTTTTACTGCCTTGATCAAGGGCCTTTGCCAGTGTGGAAATTTGAAGGAAGCTGAGAAGTTATTTGCTGTGATGAAGAAGAAAACAGTGGCTCCGACTAGTGATTTGTATGATATGCTTATCAGCGGTTACTGTGAGAAGCGCAATGCTAAGAGGGCACTTTGGTTGTATGATATGATGGTGACCGAGGATGAGAAGCTTGTCCCCTCTGCTGAAACTTTTATGATGCTGGTGAGGAGAGTCATCAAAGTAAAGAATGTGTGTTCCCCTGATAGCTGACCATATAATTAGATGCTGGAGGGGAACTGACGGGCTTAAAGGTTAAAACGGATAGAAGAAGAAGGTTATTGTTCAATATGTTTTCTCTTCTGATATGGAATGACTCTGGAGCTAAAGTTCAGGCAGCAAATGCCCTTATTATAGCATTGTTTGGATGGTTTAGACAATGTATATATATATATAGTTGACAATTGCATTTTGCCTGCAAAGTTACAGCTTTAGGCAGCTGCCTTTTGTGTGCAGAGATTGCGCATTGGTCCATGGGTTTGGATTGGGAGTGGCATAGGAATTCACCAAGAAAAATACTTTCGCCATATATAACTTTGGAAAATGATTAAAAAAATGTGATATTCAGAAAAAAAATGCATTTCACCTAAAAAATTAAGGTGAAACAAATTTCGTTTGTTTTCTAAGTTTGTGCATTGTGCTCTATAGGGTTCAAATCAATATTGACACTATAAATTATTTTTAACACCATCTAACAGTTGTCTTCCACAGATTTTAAAGTTCCCAAGACACAGATCTGCTACCTGGAAGGCTGGAGCACCATCTTCACTACAATTGCACTATCATGAGCGTATGGGACCTAAATGCAGGCCACTGTATGTGGTCTATGTACAGATTGGATCTCATTTGTCAGGTCACCAAATATTGTTCAAGGCAGCAATTTGTTATGGGATAGCTAAAAATAACCTTCATTTACTTGCATGTTAAGTGAAAGAGATAATGTTGAGAATAAAAAAGGATTTTTAGTATTACTTGATCACATGCATGTCTGTGAGTCTGTCCTATTTGGAATTCTAGATCCCATTTACCAGCTATGCTTTGCCTGCATCTGTTCAGCACATAAATTCCAATAGAACTCATGGACAAGTTTTTTTTTTTTTTGGTAAAGTACATTTTTCAACCTCCAACTCGCATTGAAGTTCGATTTTCAACCTTCAACTATGAAACCAGATAACAGACACCCACCAACTATCAAAACCGGACAAATTTGGTTCTCGTCTGGTTTTAAAAGCGGTTTTCTATTTTCTAATAATAAAAATCCAGTTTGATATCTAGAAGTTCGTAATTAATTTATTTAAATTATAAAAATATGAAATTAGTTCATGTTTTCTTCTAAAGATGTTATATGTATGTTGATGCTATATTTAAAATTATTTTTAATTTCTCATGGAATTAAATTTCGCACAAAATTTAATTTCGCACGGAATTAAATTGTTCGCTTTCTATTCTTTTACATGACAGTTCGCTGTCTTCGTCTCCGCGCGCACCACCTTGCTTTTGGCCAAAAACAACTCGAGAAGCGGGCCGCGAGCGTCAAGCCTTGTATTAATGTATACAATAGCATTGCTATCCCCCGCTGGCATTTATTTTAGATCAGAAAAATATGAAACTAGTACTTTTTTTTCTAAAATGTTCTCTACTTGTTTATGGTCTATATATAGGTATTTGGAATTGGTTTATTTATGTTCCTATTGCTTTATTGCTCGTTGTCACGCTTGTTATTTATTTAAAACAAGTAAGGTCTAAACAATTTTAAATGTAGCATCAACATATATATAACATTTTTAGAAGAAAACATGAACTAGTTTCATATTTCTATAATTTCAAAAAAAATAATTACGAACTTCTAGAGATCGAACCTGATTTTTATTATTATTAGAAAATAGAAAAACCGTTATTGAAACCAGCCGATGACCAAATTTGTCCGGTTTTGACAGTTGGAGGGTGCCTGTTACCCGGTTTCATAGTTGAAGGTTGAAAATCGAACTTTAATGTGAGTTGGATGTTTAAAAATGTACTTTACCCTTTCGTTACTTGAACTCCGAACCCAAACTGGACAGGACGGGACACCGGAGGCACCGACGGTGAAGTGTTGCCTGTCAAGCTGAGATTCAGACGTATGCTGAATACTGTGGTGGTGCCGTGGTGACTGACGAGGTCTGGCCGTGCTCACTGCAGCGTCAGTTCAGAGGCCCGGACCGGACGCAATCATGCAACTGCGTGCTCTCCGCGTCAAAACCAGAACCTCTGGCACCGGGGGCCATAGCCCATAGGCCCCTCCAGCACAGAATATATGTGGACTGCAAGTCAGATCGTGTCGCGACGCCAACGGTGCAAGATGACGGACGAGAACAAGATGGCGACATTTCGGTTTCAGGTGGTCGTCGTCTCGTCGAGCCCTGCGCATGTTGGAGTTGGACAGTTCAAGATAGAAAGATCTGCAGCTACTCTTCGGCTATACTCACTCCTTCCAAAAAAAAAAAAGAATAATGTCACGGAATGCGCGCTCCCGTCGTCCAAAAAAAAATGATATTATTAAATACGTGTTAATCAAAGTTTTTTAAATTTGACTAATTTTATAAAAAAATATTAACAATATTTGTATCACTAAATTAATTTATTATAAAAATATATTTCACGATTTATTTAATAATATTAATTATATATTATAAATATTAATATTTTTTATATATTCAAAGTTAAAAAGATTTGACTTCTGGGACGGAGGGAGTAGCTCCACTAAACTGAGTAACCTCCCTAAAAAGAACACGTATCCCTCTTCTCTTCTAGAAGTCCAATTTTTTATTATATACTCCTATGATATACTGATATTAATAAGTTTAGTACGTAAATTCTATTAGATTAATAATAAAATGTATTTTTATAACAAACATATTTAAGGTTATATTGTGATCTATAAATCTAGTAAAACTTAAAAAGTTGATTGCTTGAAGAGAGAAATGTGTGTTTCTCTTAAGACGCATGGGTAATTGGGCAAAAATAGGACTGAATCGAATCATGGACGCAAAGAGGTCACAGATCGAGCACCTGAAACCCAGTACAAGCTGAACGCACCGACCGAAAGGCAAGCCGCTTGTCACGTGCGTGGTCAGCGGCGTCATGCACGCCATTGCCGCGTGGAGCCGAGCCGACACGCATGGCGGTGACGCGGCTCCGCCACACGTGCTTGCTTTCTCAGCTGACACGGCGCGCTGCTGCATGCTGCCCCAAACGCAACTGCACGTCTGCACCTCGATCGCGTGAGCTCGTGTCACTCTCACCATCTGTGCGTGCGTCGCGGCCCACAGAGGCTAGCAAGAGCAAGCAGCAGCCATGTCGACGACGGCGCACAAGGTGGCCACGCACGCCGCCGCGACGGCCAGGGGAAGGCGGCGGCGGCCGCCGAGCGTGCTGAGGGAGATCGTGTACGGCATGAGCCTGGGCCTCTTGGCGGGTTACCTGTGGAAGCTCCACCACTGGAGCAACCACCGCCGCACCCGCGAGTTCTACAGCCTGCTCGACCAGGGCAAGATCACCGTCGTCGCCGGCGACGAGCCGCCCGCCCGGTGCTGACCACCGAGACTGACGACGGTACACCGTACACTGCTTCACGATCACTGTGCCTGTTGTGTTGTCTCAGCATCATACGTGTCGCTTTAGTTTATTGTCCCTGTTCCCTAGAACTTATGGGTTATGATATAATGTTTTTCTCTCACAGCAAATCAGTAAATAGTATTTTTCAGATTGTTTGTGGTGTTCTGATGATCAGGACTTTAGGGGTCTGCTTTGTCAGCTCTGATCATCATGTCAACGGTTGACAGTGTGTTACTTATTGTCCCGCTACTTTTACAGTTTTACTACCTTTCGTGTTAGCATGTAATGCACAATCAGATAATAACGACGACGGTTAGTTTCTATGGTCTGTTTTGCTCTTGAGGGGGATTAAAAAAAATTACTTCCCTAATTCCAGGTTGGATTCTTATCGGATTATTAGATCTGTGGTCAGTGTTGTACTGCGGCGCTTGTCTCTAGTTGCAGCGATTATGGACTCCGTCCGTCTGTGCCTTCACATCAGTTGGCGTGCTACAGTAGCATTTTGTTTTTATTTGGTAATAATTGTCCGACAATTGACTAATTAGGTTCGAAACGTTCGTCTCGCAAAGTACAACCAAACCACGTAATTAGTTTTTAATTTCGTCAATATTTATTACTCCATACATGTACCGTAAATTTAATATGACGCAGAATCTTCTTTTTTATAGTGCCAAAGTTTGGAATTTGATGGGAGCTAAGGTGCGTGCCGTGCCGGGATGATTCGGCGACACCATCATTGCAGGAGATTTTGCAGAATCTCGGCTGTACTCCAGGGATGCCTGCGCTCTGTTCGTGGTCTAATTTCTTTTTGAAATATCATCCTTGTCTAATTTCTTCACTGGTAGACTGGTACAAGTGGTACTGCTATAGCTACAGACTACAGTAAAGGTTTCCTCTGTTTCTGTTCTTATTCTTTTCTTTTTGTGGGGGAGAAAAAAGAGAAGTGTGCAATGCATAAAGGACCAAAGGGAGTCTGTCCTGTCCGCGTCCGGTCTCTGTGGACTCCTCTGTGCGACTGTGCCGGAGTAAACCCTGAATAGTCAGGTCCACTGTGTAGCTTCCCAGCCTGTGATTGTGGCATGTACAGTACGTCTAAGCACTCGAGTTAGTTAATTATGGCCTCAAGTGAGCGTCTGATACTATTCTTTCTTTATTTTCTTTCTAGCAAATTATGTGCGAAATTCAGAGGTGACCAGTTCTAATGTCTTCGTGCGAACTTACGCCCTCTGAGATCATAGCTCGAGTATTCAGCTAGTGCTCAGCTGCTGTTAACATTTTAATCCATGAGGATTTGACAATTTCCATAGTGAACCTAATCCTGGATACACGCAGGTTATTTGAAGGAAATGCAGGCAAACTGCAAACATGCCGTGCCGTGCGCAAGTATTTGTTTCACAAGTCACACAAATTCAATTCAAGTATTCAAATCCTATGTACATTGACAAACTCGAAGGAAGTATGTAGCACGTACGTACGTGTAGCACGCTAGCCGATTCAAGAAATCGCGGACTGAGATTACCAGGAGCAAATTCTCGTCGCCATTTTGCGTGCCGACCTGAAAGATTCGATCACGAGCCGGGAACGAAGCGACGGCAGCAGCCAGCTAGCCAGCGTGGCGG